TCATGTTAATGCATGAAGATTTTTTCACATTAGGGGGTATTTTCGCCCATGTAGGTTTCGTTCTAGAGGAGTTTCACCGTAACTCGAAATTTTGAGTTTAGGTAACTCGAAATTTTGAGTTGCAATAACTCGAAATTTGGAAGTGCAACAACTCGAAATTTTGAGTTGCAATATCTCGACATTTTGAGTTTCGGTCACTCGAAATTTTGAGTTGCAATAACTTGAAATTTTGATTTTAGGAAACTCGAAATTTTGAGTTTAGGTAACTCGAAATTTTGAGTTTTGGTAACTCGAAATTTGGCAGTGTTGTGTCCGAGGACCGGCAACCCAAGGCCAAGGACTTGACTCTGAGGCCAAGGCCAAGGACCAAGGACCGACCTTCGGCCCTCGAGGCCAAGGACCAGCTCGAGGACCACAACACTGATAATAACCCATCATTCCCAAAAAAAAACGCATAACCACTCTGTCTTGGTGACAGGAAGTGGGAACTGGTCGAACTTTGGCTCTCACTGGCTGGACTAGCCCTTGGCCCACTAGCTTTTCCAAATATGTAACAGTGGCCTATGCAAACTCACATTTTGCCAAGTTAACTCTCAGGTTAGCCTCTCTAAAACATGTTAGCAATACGTTTCACAGGCTGCTGCCAGGTTTCACTATGTACAACCATGTCGTCCCAAGTAAACCGCAACGCCCTTCAACCCTGAAACCACTTGATATTTATTAACCGCTGAAAGGTTGCAGGTGCAATTCGGAGTCCAAAACTCATGACCTTATAAGCATCAAGACCTGATGGGGTGAAAAAGGCAGAAATCTCTTGAGCACTTTTCTTGCTGGCTCTTGCTTTTCTTGCTGGCTCTCGACGAAGGCGGACGCTTTTCTGCTCAGCTCCTGTCCTACCCCACCCTCTCCTTGCTCACCACTCAGTCTACGTGCTGTCTGTGTCTAACTTTCCGAGCCTCCTATCGTACTTTCACCCTAAGAACAAACCATGGAATTGGTTGGCTGGTCTCTCGATGCAATCGACAAAATTTTCTCGACGAGAAGAGCAGGCAGTGGGGAGCCTACTTGCCCCTAGGGGACATTTGCTGCCAGATACGCCCTTGATCCATGGAGAAAGTGGAGAATGGTGTGCCTGTCAATACTGTCCGTTGAGGATGTGGAAGACATCTACATTATTGGCCTTCTGATAACAGGTATGCTGCTGTTTGGTGTTAGCAGTTTCCTGTTCTATCGCAAAATTCAACCGATGGGAGCAGCTTTATTGGAAGTGAAGAAGCTGCCGGTATAAATACGGCTGTATTGTATTCCCTTTAGCAAAGCTCCATTTAGTGCAGGGGTTCCCAACCTTTTTTGCCCCACGGATCGGTTTATGTCAGACAATATTTTCAGGGACCGGCATTTAAGGTGTGGCGGAAATAATACAACAAAATAATATGGTATGAGCTGCATGAAAACTGTGG